TGGGTAGCCTGGTTCCCCGACCAAAAGATTCTGACAAGTTTCTGACGAATGGGCCAGGTAGCCCCACTGATCTCTAGAGATCAGTAGGTAGCCCTCACGGCTTAAAATAAAACGTGATGCCCCTTTCTCAAAGCTCGGTTCGTTTCAGGTTTGGATTTATCATTACAAGCTATTCATGTTCCGAACTTCCGATCAAATAAAGGAAATAAGTCACTTGCTTCATGTATCATACAGTTTGATATTTCTGTAAGAAAATATTGAAAGTTTGAAGGTTCCATCTCAACATTAGTCAAAGTTAGGGACCCAAATAGCAGCCGAAGCCGAATTGGAGACGACGCCGAGTTTTGGAATATCCCTCGTCCGATTCAAAGTACATGACGCAGCAAAGCTCGCCCCTTGTACGATCCGAGTGCATATTTGATGCACAAAGTCGTCATTGAAATTACATTTTTTTTAATGCAAGCAGTGTTTATTAATTATCAACTCATTTCTTTTAATTTTTTTAATAGGCCTATGCATGCAGGTAAATAAAACCTATTATACACCCGGAGATACCTGGGCGTTTATGCGGGAGTGTCGACGAAATGCATTCAGCAAATTTCGGACATTTTCGGAAACGGGCGGTCACGTGACAGTGACGGCTACCTGACCTAAGATTCATCAGAAAAAGTCAGAATCTTTTGGCCTCGAGAACCAAATAAAATACAGGTGTGGGTTATTTCTCCCAACCATGTTTTAGGCGAATGGGGGCGCTGTTTATAACGACGTCATTTTTGGTGGGATAAAAAGACGTGGTTTGCATATTGCTATAATTCCAAATTAACATTTTTACAATCTTCATTTTTTTTTTCAGATTGAAATAAAATTAGCAATAAACCTGAAAAAAAAATCGGCATCGTTATACAATGGCACCGTTCGCTAAAATACTGAAATGGCAAAATGGAGTTTTGATTCTGCTGTAGCATCTCACAGCTAGCTCAGCATGACCGCAGTAAAACCGTTCAAACAGTAGTATGCTCCTTAACGAAGTCTTCACAAACAAAACGTTTATCCTAATAAATTGAAGCTAAAATTCAGCAGCTCACGTATAGGCTATCAAAAGTGGCGCGTGTCACACCAGTTGCATTGCCTTAAAAATTCGATAGATCCCTCGTTGACAAAAAAATACGTTGTCCCATTTGTAGCTTACGTCCCAAATTCATTCGTCAATCTTAAGAAATCCTCTGGAAAAAAATATGAAGGAGTGAAGTCCAAGTTAGCTCATAATTCCCAGAGACATGCCCCAGCCTGGGAAGAAACAATTAGACCACATTTCCCGTTCATAACCTCAGTTTTCCGGTACAGAATGACATCACCCCTGTGTTCCTTACAAGAAAACTCCAATTCGCTACTTACTTTGTCTCAAGTGGGTATCAAAATCGACACCCCCCTCTCTCCGCTCTCCCTAGCCCTATTTACATTGCTCACTTCCTTTTGATTTTAGCTGCCGAGTCCCGAGGGATGTACCGTCCGATTTCCCCCTTATTCCAAGTTCCAAACCCATCCCAACAAAACCCGAGATTTATGTTATTGTAAAAATATCCTTAAACCAGAGGATTAAAATGCAGGAAATCGGCAGGGATAATGAGCCTTGTGTTTGTACACACTGATAATTTCCTCGATAAAGACCGGAGTTTGACCGGTAAGTCCCCCCAGCATGACTCACTCCGTTTACCGGGGAAGGCGCGCTGGGGTGCATGGGATTTCCAGAGGCGCTCTCCCCTTCATGTTAAAGGTCATTTTTTTGTATACGATGGCACGACGTTAGAATATCATTACATTATTTCAAACAGAGATGGATCTAAACACAGAAATACTTGATTAAATTACGGACCCTCGATGTCAATGTAGAATGAAAAAAAAACAGGATATTTATCAATTGAACAAACTAGTCAGATAGCGTTTTCAGCTGAAATTACTTCTGAGAGAAAAAAAAATTATTACAAATTTATTGTAACTTTGCCCAATGAAATTAATACATGTATCAGCTTAAACGTATACACTCACTGATATTATAGCCTTGGGCGTCCTTGACTAGAGAAAAGTAAACCCTGATAATTATATGAGTTCATGCCTTCTTTAATAATTTTGGCGATAAATTATTTTTTTTTTTCGGGGGGGGGGGGGTGGTGGTTTTTTGTCTTTAAATGAATGGCAAGTCCTAGTGCTGGCTGCATTTTAATCCACTTACTGCTATAGGTGCAAACGTGAGACGATAATAAGTATTCTCCCATCGCGTTATGTTTTTCATATTACCCGTGCACCTTCATGCTACATGAAACTACCTTAAATAACGAAGTCCTATACACAAAACAATAACAGAGGTGGGTTTTTTTTTACAGAACCCCCTCCCCCGCCTTCCCCCTCCCCGCCCCCCCCCCCCAAATATATAGTTGGGAGAGACCAATGTATAACACTATCATCGTTTCGGCGTTTTTCGAGTCGTTTCGGTGTTTCTTGAGATTGTTAGATTATAAAACCAAATTTTCCTCCTTATATTTCCGGTCAAAATCTGCGAAAACTTCCAAAATTTACGAAATTATCTTCAGAAAATCACGGGTCCTCAGAAATTAATAATTAAAAAAAAATCCAGGTGCTCAGCTTGCCACTTTGATTTACATCGGGCAGGTAGGCCTACGAATACTCATTGTTCTCTAAAGATTTATTACACAAAAATACTCATGTGATGGACCTGTACACTCATAATAACTCATTTCACAAACAGTACCACACATGCCAAATTCAACTTTGATAATTAACAGCATGAATTTTAATACCGTGTGAATCAACTATCGGGCATGTAAACCCGCCGCGTACTATGGGGGTCCCTTGTTTATGTTCGGCGCCGTAACGTCGCGTCGCCCGCACCGTATGGGGGCTTGTAACCGCAGCGAACCTTCATCGTAAACCGCGATCCAGTGGTCGTATAGGTTGATTCCCATGTATGCAGTTTGATATTAATAATTTGTCATTCACAAACAGACTTTATGAATCATAATTTATGTGACGAAAATAAATTTTTACATTTCGCAGGAAGGCGTGTGAACGTACAAAACGAGAGAGACCACAATGCATAGACAACACACCTACTCGGTATTTAACATAGATAATTGCATTGTCTTCTTTTGTCAAATAATAATAAAGCACATTTTAGATTTTACACTTCTGCCACAAAACCACTTAGAAATAAACTTTTGTTGTTGCTCATTATTTTGTTATTATTAACTTGAAAAGTACTTAAATGATTTGAATGATTCTTGTACTAAAAGAAAGCTTATGAATTGGGCTTTCATATCCTAGATTTTGAAAGTGTTACATGCAGAACTTCACTTAAAAATGGTCCCGACATTTGGGTTTCGGTTTTTTTTTACTCACCCTGTATAGTTTTGCAACTTACAACGACCATTTTAAAATTCTTCCCATTTACGCACTGTTTTCCGCCACCAGTGTCTTTCCCCCCACGGATTTTCCCCGAAAGAAGGACCACCACCCCCCCCCCCCCCCCCCCCCTGGATCCACAACCCGGATACATGCACCATTTGGCCTTAGGTTTTGTTGTACTAATAATTATGCGTGGTAGTCGCTAGCCTGTCATCATCACATGATAAATATCACAGTGGTAATCGTTGGTGGATGGCGTGGGCTCGACTATCTACCGCAAAGAAGGACTTGGGTAAAAGACACTCGAAAAGCGGGGTAAAATCGCAAAAGAGGATAGTTTATCACGAAGAAATAACAATATTTATTTATTTATTTGTTGTTGTTGCTTGTTTCTTCCTTTTTTGAGTAGGAATTGTAAGGGTTTAGAACTACATGTAATGATAATCAACAGTCAGACTGGTAAAAAAAAACCGTCCATTTTGGATTTGAAAAGCCATTTGATTTCATAAATCACGCAATTTTTTTGCGATGATTTTCAAAATCTATTTTTCAATTTCATTTCTGGATAGTGGTAGTCAGAGAATTTCGGCATTTAGATCACGTTTTGTCTCTCGTTACTTATTATGGATATAAAATTATAAATGTTGATTTATGTAAAATGGTTTATTACTCATCGTGACGCGTGACGGCAACATGTGTTTCAAGACAAAAGAGGCGCTTTGCATAAACAGTATCTATAAACAGTATTCTCATTAAACAAAGGTGGACCATTGGTGACGAATCAAAACTTATTACCCTACCAGCATACTTCTTCATTGTTTGAGTCATCTTCAAACAATGAATGACAATGCCGTGTTAATTACAAGTCCAAGGGGAATTTACAGTTGCTAACCAAAGATTGTCATTGAAGTGGTATGCGAAAATAATATTGCAAAATATTTCACGTTGTTGGCGGTTAAAGTTCTGGGAAAAGTTGAAATTCATACATTGTAATTGGTGAGCGATATCTAACTCGAGTTGAGCCTCTTCCAAACCAAAGTGAAAGTATAGAGCTTAGTAATTTTTACGAAGCAAAGTTGTTTTTACCAATGAGGAAATGTACAGAACCACGTAAATTCATATCAAATTTTAATATACTAGTACAATCGACACACTTCATTTGAAATGAGACCTTATTTCAGTTGAGGGTGGGATTTTTATCGACCACAAAATGTGAACATGAGAATGAGTAACCTTAGCGACGATCTGTGTTTTTCTACCATGCCCAGTGACAGTAGATAATTTACAATTTTTCTTTTGTGGCGTTGTTGCATCAAAGAGCCAGTGCGTGATTCAGCGCTATTCACCGGCCGCGACGTGTGCATAATCCCGTGTCCCCACTTGTACTTCGTACGGCTTGTCCCTGGTAGTTTATTGCCCTTTTGTTATCTCTCTTTAAATCCAAGGACCCGCCCGCTCGTTTTCATTCATAAAAACTTTGGTGCAATCCCTGCCACGAGCAGGCCAGCCCTCAATTGGCCGGTGGATCCCCTACTCCAATTGGTCAAACGTGACGTACTGTCCAAAAATAGCCCATGACATCATCGGACCGCGATCGGCGCGTAATGCGCATGTCAGCTGGATTAGCAATTTACCGGGCGATGGGAAACTGTGTGAGATATGGCTGCAGTTTCATCCATCAATTTTACTGGGATTTTTTTCCGAAGAGCGGGACTTTTCGGGTGGAAGGAAGGACCTTGATTGTACGGGGGGCTTTGAAGTAGACCTGGGCTGATGCCAGAATAAAGAAATATAAATAGTGAGTATCAATCTGTTATTTACGAAGAATAGGAATTGACGAATATATCGATATGTGTACGTAGGCCCTACGTGTACGTGTGCACAAACGTAGACGTTGTCGTTATATGAAGCCTCGTTAAAGGGCTCCGACAGTTGTTTGCGGTGTGTGTACAAATTATATTAAAATTATGCAACATTACAAGTTACAACTCCAACTGTTCCTCCGCTATTTAATTATTCATTTTAGTGAGGCTGCTGCTTGTGTATTGTTCTATGTGTGTACTTTGATTGGCATTCTCAAACCAATGCAAATATGCACTTATTTATCTCAGTTTATGACAAAACTCGGGGCTTATTTTCTACATTCATGACATTGCCGGTCATACAAAATCCATACAAAACAAATGCATGGTGGTGAATTTGATCATCATAGTGGCTATCATTAGCCGTATTAGGAGATTTTCAACTTCTATCGTTCAGGTATCGCCAAACCAAAGCGCTTCGGTAGCTTGATTGGTTTTTCGACTACTGTGCCGAGGATCTGGGTTTGATTGAAACCGCTGCCGCGCTGGTCAATTTTTTGTTTTTTGTAAATAATTTTATACTGTTTTTAATCAAATTCGTTCTTTTTATTTAAGTACATTTCATTTTCATCAGGATTTTTTTTAAAAGGGAAATATTGTCCGAGGACCAATCAGCATGATCAGTTGAACGATAATCAGGTTCCAACAGCCAAAGTTCCTGACGGTGAATTTTGTGAAAGCACTTTATTGTCGTTTCAATATCAGTCAGTATTACTATTATTACTAAAAAATCTTTCAATAGCAACCTTTGTTACTTGTAATACTAACAGTTATTAAAATGCAAAACCCAAATAATTAATTGTTATAAATCATGCTATTGTAGGCAAATACATTGATCAGCTAAAGTCAGCTTCCTTTTGTGTGTGTGTGTGATTTCTATTTTTATCCACCTCTAAATGTCTGGCAGCAGACTCTGTCAGTCAACTCGTCCCACTCATCTCTCAGAGCCCAGGGTAGGCCTTCGTGGATCGCATCCAGGCTATTTTTAGCCACATTCCGTGGAGCAACATCCATGATGCATTTTACTTTCAGAAATGGAAATTTGCTGATCGCAGAATTTGCATTGCCCATTATTTACTTGCTTTCTGAATGGAAGGACTTCCATATACGAAGTTCACTAATTTTCCTCTGTATTGACTAACAAGCCCCCAGACAGCAATTTCATGTCATCAAAGTCAATTTGAGCAGTGAGAAAATACAAGCACTTTCTTAGAAAACACTTAAAATTTTTCAGTCCAATCTCATAGGGTTTGTACACAGGGTGTTGAGTGAACTTCGTTTATGGAAATCTTTCCCTTGCTTTCTGAATCTGTATAAAATGTACCCCAACCCCCAAACACACACATTGTTTGTTGGGGTGTTGGGTTGTTTGTTTGTTTTGTGTCTTTTTGTGTGTGTGAGTTAAAATGATTATTCTTGCTTTGCAATGGTTTCCTATAATGCCAGTGTGAATAGCTGAAATAATGGAGCAAGCCACTATACTAGCCAACTCATGTGGAATGTGGATACTTAAAGGGAATATACAACATTTGCAAACATCGAAAAATACAACTCCAAGTTTTAACAAAATACTTCACTAGGATGTTGGTAAATGACAGTCTAAAGCACCCTGTAAAATTATGGCACCTGGTGTGAAGTCAGTTTCAAGAAAATGGTATTTTTGTATAAATTTCCAACGGTGGTCGGCCGACCACCGTTGGAAAACCCTAACTATTTTTCAACCACTGCTCCAAATTTACCATTTTTCCACTCCAAATTTTATTTGCTATTGGTTACATGTTAATGAACGGGTGCAGGCCAGCTAGACTGGTTCCCTTACCTTACAATTTTCCGGCATCCATAAATTGGTCCATTTTATCTTTAGTGGAGTCAGGGAACCAGACTACTCCACCGTTTGTGTGTTTCTTGTTTTTTCCAGCATTTTCGAACACAAAACTTCAAACATGTCAGTGAAACAATGTTTGATCTATTATAGTAACCCCTCAAATAGTTCATTTCTGAAAATTACAGCAAAAGCCAATGATGTATATTCCCTTTAAAGGAACACATGCATTTGCAATTTTACCCAGAAACAAGGAAATCCTTGCTCAAAGTGGAGCAATCATTGAAGGTGGATTAAGAAAATGTGGTTTAAGGAAATAGCAAAAGAATCCAGTTACGAGACGCCCAAAAAGCATTGTCTGTTTTCGCAAATTGTTGGTATTCATTGAGCTGAAACTTCAACTAGATAGTTCTTAAGCACATTTCTTAAGAATTTTGTTGCTTCCAAGAAAGCGAAAAAAGCATGTAGTATTAGGGAGCTCTTTAAAGTTATTTTACGGTATCACTCGGTTTAGTAGGTGGATCTACCGAAAATCTGACGCCCCAACAAAATGGAGACATTGAGTCCCTAAGGCAGCGTAGCTTGGAAGTCCAATATCCCTCAGACTTAATTTAAAATCTGGGTGCGGATTTTTGGAAATTAAAGTTCTTAAGAAATTTATAGTTACTGACTCATTCATTATAACTCACATACAGGTACTACATTGGACAAGTTTTAGCCCGTTCGCATGTGCCTGAAAATAGGGGCAACTACGATCGTTCACTCAAGCAAGGAAAGTTCCAATTCTACCCAATAACAGTAGCCTGATTTGCCAAATGACCCAGCAGTTTTTTTGATGAATTTTGTGACAGCTCTAGGGTCCGTAATCCAAAACGAAACCAATAAAAAACCTGAAAAATATCTTGACAATCTGGATGATCGGACAATAGGTAGTGACGGCTCTGAACCCTAGAATACGTTTTCAGGACACAATACTTGTGTAAAAATAGGCCCCAATTAGTCACACAAACTGGGCTCTTTATGTCAATTGTTATATTGGTTGTCAGTGTCATACCGTAGGTATTCCGATTGTAGTTCCCTCCCCAAGTGCTGTCTTTTTGAAACTCTTTGCCAAGTGTCCTGGTTTCAATTCCAGTTTTTTTCTGGGGAGGGGGGGGGGGGGGAAGGGGGGGGATTCTAAGCACATTAGCTATAGTAGGTCAGTCCAGGATATGCTACATTGTGAGGAAATGTGACTGTACAATGTACGTGCATCTTGCGTGATCTTTTAAAGTGTTCAAGTGGTGGAACCATAGAACTCAACTTAAGGTTGTGCAACTGCATGCGAAATTTCCAATTGCTGGATATGATGGACATTTCCCACATTATGTTGACAAAATATCAAATTTAGATAAAATGCTCTGAATGTTCTTGTTAAAGGGAATGTACATGTACACCATTGGCTTTTGCTGTAAGTTTCAGAAATGAACTATTTTAGGGGTTAGTATAATAGATCAAATATTGTTACACTGACCTGTTTGAGGTTTTGTGTTCGAAAATGTTGGAAAAACCAAGAAAAACAAAAATGTTCAAGTAGTCTGGTTCCCTGACTCCACTAAAGATGAAATAGAAATTCATACATGAAGATGGCAGATAATTGTAAGGTAAGGGAACCAGTCTAGCTGGCCTGCACCCTTTCATGAACATGTAACTAATAGCAATCAAAATTTGGAGTGAAAAAAAATTGTAAATTCGGAGTGCAGTAGTTGAAAATAGTTAGGTTTTTCCAACGGTGGTCGGCCGACCACCGTTGGAAATGTATACAAAAGTACCATTTTTCTTGAAAATGACTTCACACCAGGAGCCATAATTTTACAGGGTGCTTTAGATTGTCATTTACCAACATCCTTGTCAGGTATTTCGTAACAACTTGGTAGTTTTATTTTTCGATGTTTGCAAATGTTGTATTTTTCCTCTAATAGATGCTCTGAATGTTCTTAAGGTTGAATGTTGTTCATTTTAAAGTAAAAAACTACATTTGGCTTGAAGATGCTGCTGCAAATTTTACGTGTTATTTGTGTTGTTAGCAATGACATCAGAGTCGTATCCCTACCAGAAGTCACTCTTGAGAGATAATAGCATGCCACTTGGCACAGGTTGGGACATGCACAGCCATTGTATAGCAGCCACAGCTCAATGAGTCATCATATGTACAGTTTGCTATGGGCTCACTGGCTAAATATAGTCATTGCTGCATACACACATAGCACCTCTATTGAGTAGTGGGCTGTGTTTCTAACCAGGCGTTCTTGTGATGCAATCCTCGTAGCCCCTGCTTGAACTTAGCATCCATGGAAAAGCAGTCAAAATTGTGAGTTGGATATAGAAAAATGAGCTTTGAGAGTTTTTGTGAGATTTTTGAGAGTTATGGTAAAAATGATCAGTGCATTGGACACGTGCATAGTACACGTATCGACCAATCTGGGCACACTGGCAGTTGCATCACGAAGGCCCCTTTCAATGGCGCAAGCATTGTGCTAGCTATTGTTCAGAAAATCCATCACATGGCAGTAGCTTGGACAATAGCAAACACAATGGTTTCTCCATTGAAGGGGGCCTCATGAGTGTACAGTGATCACGTGCCGTTTTGTCTAAATAGTCATTGTAGTAAGACTCGTTCACACCAACTCTGTACAAACTCTGGTTATATAGCAAAGATAAAGCCTTGGTCCCTACTATTATGGGCACAATGAATGGGACTGGCACTCCTCTTATTGCAAAATTCTGATATAAAACATTTTGGCTAGATACCGGTAGGTCTGGCTGAGTTTGTATTAACGAAAGTCGACTGTATACAAAATGTAGTTGTCACTGCATTGGATCTTTTCATGTTATAGAACTCTTTGGGGACTGCCTTCACAGGCATTAAGCTCCCTCAGTTGGAATCGAACCTCCAGGTCGGAGCTTGCTGTTTCACGTGTTGCACTGTTGAAACCAGTTTCTACTGGAGGGAGGCCATTAGAAAAAGCTATATTCCTTCCCCAATTCAATTATTTCCTGTACTAGCTAATTTGATTCATTTTATGTGACGTGTTGTACTTTTGCAGAGAGTGACTGAAGCTGGTTTCTGCTGGATGGAAGCCAATTGAACTGGTTTGATTTCCCCCTCCAAGGAAAGTGATCTATCAAGTTGAGGCATCCTCTGCTAGCTAGACTTCATTTCGGATATTTTTTAAGAGAAGAAAAACGAAGGAAAATCGACTTGACAGTTGATCTGTTCGCATCACCCACCCATGACAAGCAGACACCTCCCAGCCCGTACCGCAGCCCCTCTCCATTCCGTCGCCCAAGGACCAACCGCTCGGCAGCCTTCATGCATCTGGTACTGGATGTGCCAACAGCCCATCCGTTCAAGATCCCACGACGTAAGATGAACAGTAGGGCGCCCCCTATCGGCCGGGGGACCCGCACGGTGTCGCCAAGCCGGCTGGCCGAGCTTTTCCACGCCGGGAATTTAGAAAACACGCTGGTGATTGACAGCAGGTCATTCCTGGACTATAATACGTCCCACATTGCCAACTCAGTCAACATTGGATGCTCCAAGATAGTCAAAAGGAGGCTGGAAGACAATAAGGTAAGAAAACTAAAAGACAATGACATCAGAAATGGAATAAATGCTAGTGAGCCTACTGTAGTTAGTCATTAAAAAACAACTTAGGCAATAGGCATCTCCATTTTCCCTTTGTTCATAATATCAAAAAAGGAGCAAGCTTCTGGTAAACTGTCATGCCCAAGGACACCAACATTGCCGAGGCATAGGTTTCAGTTTCCTTCCTATATAGGGTGGTCCAAAAAAAACCGGAACCTCCTACTTCTACTACCTTGAGACTCAAACCACCTGTACCAATTGATGGAGAATCCTTTTAGAAGAGTTATGATACCAAAATATCCCCATTCGCTCCATTAGTTTTTGCTGCAGAGCCTATTTTGTGAAGGATACTTCTTTCATGTGGGTATTATAATAGATAACAATCCCTCTATCAATTACAATGCAAGGCAAATTTCCGGGCGTGGTTTAGTATTTCATAGGGACAAAAATGACCCCACCTAGCTTCACAAAATAGGCTATAGAACAAAAACTGGGCCAAATCGGGCGATCTTGGTTTCATTTTATTTCTAAAAAGATTTTCCATGCATTGGTATGTGGTTTGAGTCTAGTGGAAGTACATGTATGTATGTACATGTATGAGGTTCAGGTTTTTTTTTTTACGACCCTGTATAAAGACGCCGAACCATTTCTGGTTTCATTTACTTGAACACAACCAGTTCTGTTTTTTTTAATTTTTTTTTTAGCCGTTCCTAGAAGGCCAACCTACATGTAGTGTCCTATTTGTACAGTACTTGTCTCACTGTTTGACTCACTGACTGACGGACACACTGACTGAACCTGGCAGTGCTATTGTATAGGATAACCCCTATGAATATGCTAAATCTAGCCCTTTGTGTAGACCACATGCACGAAAAGACTTCCAGTGAATAGCCATTCTCAACAATTTGAACATAATTTTGTGCTCTTGAATGTATTTATAAATTTATTAATTTAATTTTGTTTTGGGGTACTCCTTTTACATCCAAGCCTGCCACCCATAAAGATGTAATGCCGGGGCTGATTTGTCAGGTTTTCCAACTGAAAGTGACGTACCAAAACGTCCCTGTTCATTTGTGCACAATGTTATCTCGGCTTCCAATCTTGACAGGATTTTTTCACCTTCAGAGAGTCGAAATGGAAGGAGCACAAGCCAAGGCAATTGCTGCATCCTGCCTGGTCTGAGCCCTCCATTCATGGAGGAAATTCAATTGCCCGACTGTGCCTGTCCATGTTCGAGTCATACCGGTCCGCTTTACATAAACGTAGCATTAGGGGTACACATTCAATACTGTGTGTCAAATGTCCTATCAATCTGTAATGTTTCAGAACCAATTTGTTAAATTGGGTCCTCATTTGGGTTACTCCGGAGCCATTTTCACAAGCATAAATGTACTCGTTTAGGGAGGAGTGGCAATTCATGTCGATTTCCCAGTAGACCCGGTGTCGATTTCATTGCACCAACGAATTTGAGCAAAACCAGTGTTTGGGTAATTTGGTTATGAAGTGGACAGCCATTTTGACTTCAAACATTAAACAGTTACGGGTACATTGTGTGTTGTCAATTCTATCAAATGCGTCCCTGAAGAATTGTCCTTTAGTTCCATTACGATTGGAACCAGGGCTGTGCATCAGAACTGGGTACCCCAGTACCCGACCATTAAAACCCTAACTCCCTATGGGGTGTGCAAAATCGTATTGAAGTTGGAGGATTCAGGACTGTTAGGGTTTCTCAGGAATGGTTCTAGACTATGGGATCTGGTACCCGTAACCAACTTTACAAATTACAGATACTTCTCAGACAATGAAAAGGTTTTGAAGTCATTTGTGGCCACACGGGCAAGCAAAACATATTTTACATTTATGACTCTCCTGAAAGCTGCAGTTTACACCGTAAAGCTATAAGGTTCACAAACACACTTGTATCTTGCTGTATTGATGCGGTAGTATTATCGTGCGGATCTTTGTAAAAAGTCTCAACAGCAACTTCCGAGATTCAAATTTTGGCATGTTTGGTGTTCGGTTTCTTTAACGGGTACCCGGAAACCCGCATTTTTTCTCAATTGGGTACCCGAATCCTGTACTACCCGTAAATGCACACCCCTAATGGGAACCATTTTGAAATTGTTTTGAACAGCTGTGAATACTACGGCCAGGTGCAGATACATGTATGTATTGTACATCATGTAAATGAATTTGCCATTGATCTTACAGAAATGTTCACTTGAACAAGCAAATGATAATAAGTAAAGGATTTCTCAATGAGATTCGCTTTGAGGAATCCAACATGCATCAAACAGTAGGCCAATTCTTCTGAAGCCAGTTTCAGTGAAACAGGTTTCAGCTATTCCCTCTTTTGGTACCTACTCCCGCACACTAATAAACTATGCAGGCGCAGTGCAGAGCAGGTTCGTCGCATGAATCGCTAATTAGAAACGCCAGCTCCCTTCGGCATTGGCCCGTCACCCCAACCGGCCGGCAGCGAATCCTGATTTACGCACTGTAGGGGCTTAATATCATGGACAAACTCCACGCTAGTAATAGACAGTTAATTTGGGAATCGATCCTGCCCTTCCGTTTCGACGAGTGCTTCGGCAGACATAGTGGGTTTCGTCAAGATGACAGTTTCTCACCGTGCCTGCCGGAGATGCACGGGGGTTGTGCAAATTTGTGGCACAAGTGTTGGGTCATTTAAAAGGCTGCTCTCTTGCAGTGTAGGAAGCCAAACGTATTGTAGAGTGTAGTCATCATGGAATGCAGTGATACATTTACAATTTAAACTCAAGTGAGGACAAGATACTGGTACACTGTAAGACTATAAACAGTTCAGACTTAACTTTTAAGACTAAACACGTTGTCAATGTTACGTCTGAATCAGTCCTTCTGATTTAAAAATCACAGGTGTGTGGAAAAACGCACACCTGAATTTTTCTAGGCATGTGATTTTTCTAGGTGTGTGATACTGTGGTCCAAGCTGGGACTGAACAATCTGGTATTTTTTTTGATAATATTCATCTTGGTTTACAATAAAGCCGTTTTCTCTTCACCGACATACTTTATTTTTTCACAAATTATGAAGTATAATTATGCTGTAAATGTATGCCGAGGTGTGCGGTACTGAGGGATTCAGGCGTGCGATTATTCGCACTTCTCTGGAAGCATTTAGGCGTGTGATGGCGTGGGGGTGTGATCGCACACCTCAAAACAGAAGGACTGCTGCATTATTACATTTTTGCTCAAATTTTTGTCAAAGTACCTTCAAATGATTTCAAACATTCTCACATAGTGAAACACCCTTAGACAAATATTACGTGGAGCAATTGTTTAGAATGCATTGATACTTTTAATAATATAACCAAATATTTGGATGGAACACGCACTGTGTCCCAACCCGAGACCCACTGGCCATCGGTCAGTTGTCCACGTAGGTTGACCAGCCGGTGATGACTCATACTGTCCGGAGAGATGGTCAGAGAAATTGAGATTCATTTTCACACTGCATATATATTAAAAGCTAGACCGTAGAATCGTTAGTCATCTGTCAATCTTTTTAATCTTATTAAAATTATCACTGACATGTATACAACGTGTATTAGGCATCATTTTCAGTGCATAAACGTTGCAGTTCATGTACATCATGTTCCTTTTTTCATGTGTACATAAGTTTGTTTATTGATAACAGAAAATCTGAAAGAATATGTTCAAATGGTGTCAATTTATTACCATTGATGTGTCATCAACATCAGGATCCAGATCTGTCTATTGCAGGTGTTCTAGTGTGTGCATTGCATGTGGGAAGGGTTTTCATTAGACAATACCCGGTACATGTATGTATGCCAAAATTTGTTCAAATTACCTTGTAGTGAAGATAATTAATAGGCAGAAAATGCGCAAAGCATCACATCTGCCAAGCAGTAGGTTTTTTTTTTTTACACTTTCAACAGATATAGTTTACAATTTTTTTTTTTTAAATGAAATTGACATTCATTCACATGTATGCAGGCCATGGTGAAAATGCTCGGCGCCGTAACTTATAGCCTACCATTTAGTCTTAGTTAGCAGTCCCGGCTTTTTAATTAATGCACGTTTTTCAGTTAATGCACATTTATTCATTGGGTGCTGGTAAATATGTTTTTTTAAATACTTTTTTGCAGTTATTGTGAGTACAATAAAATACAAAAATTAACAACATGCTTGAATGAAAATACAAAAATTTCGGGAATTTGTTGGCCAACAAATTTGTGTTCATGCATGAGTCACGTGATTGTGCCATGTAATTTCTGGAAGGAGTAGTGTTTTGAGTATAAAACTCAGCTTTTTGACCCAGTGACCTCATGATGACCTTTGACCCCAGTTTGGTCTTGCGACATGTTGGGGCTGGGCTTCTGATACTTTTGACAAAGTTGTTTGAAATCGGTCAAAATATGTAGGAGGCTAGGAGCAAAAGACAATGTCAACATTTGTAACTACCGGTAACTAACTAACAGACTGATGAAGAGACATGATAATTTGTTGAGCTGCTTTCCCGCAGCGAAAAAACCCTGATCTTTTACAAAATTACCTACATACAATGTACAGTATACGTTGTACATACCAGTAGCAACTTTAGTGCAGGGTCGTTCAATGAATATAATTTCACAGTAAACTTTTCAATT